TCAATTTAGAACAACAAGTAAAACTCAAAGATTCAATTCTTGCGTATTCTTGCGTTCAGAAGGTAGTTTTAAAGTTCGTGTATCTAAACAGCAGTTTGATTCAATTATTATTTTTGATTTGCCCCCTCAAGTTTCTGAGGAGGACATACGACAACTTTTGATGCACTTATTAACTTTACTTCGAAATCACAGTTGTCTTATGTTACTAGCTTCTCCAGCACTGATAATGCTAAGAATTGGGTGCTGAAGATTGATAAACGGTATCTAATGGACTTGTGATTTCGTGGTTGAATGTTTATTTGTTTCTCTTTCTGTCCTTTTAGAAAATAATATTAGAATAATGAGATGTTTTGGATTCCGGGCTTTAGTCATCATATAAGAAATTGTAAGGCTACGCGCCACTGTGTGCAACGTGCTTAGACGCATGAACAGCACGTTTTTGATTGTAAAGAAAGACCATCATGCATTAATTACATAAGATCTAATTTAGAAGCAGGCACTGGAGACAATATTGATCATGCTAAGTAGTTCGCGTCGATGCCCGGTTTACCAAGCCTAATTGAAAATGCAGTTAAGAAATTATTTTAACTAATTAAAATATTATTATTGTGTAATTATGACAGTTTTGTATGCTTGTATTCTGTATTTTCTATTGTATAATTCATAATGTTTTATGTGTTATAGGTAATATTTATCTCAATTAAGTAATTTAATTTGTAATTTGAGATTGATTTTGCTGATTTTCTTTAATTAATTTGTTAAATAATTCTGTTTGAATTCCATTATTCTTGACTACATGTAAGTATTTATTTGAAATTTGGTATCCATTATTTTATTGTCATTACTTAATCGGTATTGACGATGATAGTTATGACACCTAAGTGAACTCACTAACTGTTTTGGTAGTGTCATGTCATAATGGAAAAATGGATTATTATCTACTATTATTTAAAATGATTTACGTTATATAAATGCACAATGGGCATATGGAACTAATCATATGTGACATGCCTGCCAAGTAACTAAAAACTGTTCTAATTTTGATGTCAAAGCCTAGACCTTTTTCAATTGAACTTACAAGTCTATGTAATGATAGTGATTATGTGATTTATATCGTTACTTTATGAACCTTGATGGGCTCAAAATTTTTATTTGCGAACTATATAATTGGACCTACATGTGTACATAATGATTACGATCTTGTGAATAATGAACATTGACAAACAAAGAACTCTTACTTGTGAACTATACAAAGTTTCATCGAGATTTTTATTATGAACATTTTTTGGACCTTTTATAGATTTTCATGAATATTATATTTAAATATACTTATGACTATTATATTTAAAAGACTGCACAAATGACTATTTTGACCTTCATAGGACTCTTCTTTTATGTTAATTCTGAATAGTTGAAGGTATCCTTCGCTGCAGCAAATCACATGAGCGTTACATGCATTTAATCGCACGTCGCACAGTAGTGCAAAGATGTCTATGTTTCATTTATGTAACTGGTTACTGTAACTTGTGTTTGCTTGCGAATATGGTCCACCAGCGGCCGAGCGGTAAAGTCGCTGAACATTGTAGTTCGTTTCTGAGGTTCGAATCCCGCGAACAGGCTGGCCGCATGGGTGTTTTCGTGGTTTTCCCCATACGAGCCAGTTTCCAGTAGAAGGTCCTCCAAGAAGGCATCCCTCCCCTTAGGCAGATAGCCCTCGAGGCTTTGCCGTAATTAAATAACCTAACCTAACCTAACCTTGCTTGCGAATATATACAAAATAATTTCCGCTGGGCAAGGGCGGTAGCTACTGTTAAGTCTTCCGCTGAGTAGGCCTGACTTGTGTATACCTTAAGTCAGGAGCCTGCCCAGTGGCGTTCAAGGTCAATAAAGGGACATTCACACTGAGGTTTATCTGAGCTAACGGAGTCAGTTCCATGTATCGACTAGCTCCGCTATACTTGCAGTTCAGATTTTTCAACTTGCTGCCCTGTGGAGAAAAATTGGTTTTCGGGATCGGTCGGTTATGTCAGTTTTCTCCGTTAGCTCAGATAAACCCTAGCGTGAACGACCCTTAAAATTCTTGCCTAGCCTTTATTTTCGCAATTGTTGATTTTAGATATAGACTTCCAGTTAGAAAATGTTTTAGATGACGTAAAGATTCATATTTCTGTATTTCTGAACAAAATTTATTTTATATAAAATATGATATCTAAATTTTTATACATTAAATTGGTCTCTATATTTTTATTCAAGAAAATCTTGTATTCACGAAATGTTTAAATCCCGCATGGCAAAAATTGACAATGATATATGGTATTAAAATAAAGAATTATATTCAGAAGCCGAACACAAACTGAAGAGCAAATTGTTTGCATTTACACGTAGTTAAAAATAATCATCCGCTTAAAAGAGGTTTCTGACGTTCAGAGATTAAACAACGAGCATTTCCATGCAAATTATAGTGATTAATATAATGTTATTTCTCAAAAGAGAGATCTTATTTAAATAATATTATACACTGCTGGCCATTAAAATTGCAACAGCATTAAGAAAATCAAATACAAAAAATATATTTATTGTACGTAAACAGTATGGCATGAAGACAAAATGTTTAAATTTATATGCAGTTTGCGGGTTTACAAGTATGCGAATTAGTAGAAACAGCTACTACCCCTGACAGCTGAAAAGGCCTTCTGGTTAGGCGTGGAGTCGAACTTGGCTTGGATGACGGAAACGGGCAACTCATTTCATGCTGCTTCAAGTCTATGTCACACGTCATCAACCATATTAGCTTTAGAGGGGTGGTGGGGCAGTCTCTCAGCAACCCATGACCAGATGTTTTCAATGAGTGACAGACCTGGAGACTGTGCAGGCCAGGGAAGCAATCGAATATCCTGTGTTTCGAAGAAGGTCAGAAGGCGACTTGCAACATGTGGTCTTGCATTATTTTATTGGAAGATGGCCTTTGGCAGGCCTCGAAGATGGGGCAGAACCAGTAGACGTAAGTTGTCAGAAATGTACCGATCTTCGCTCAAATTACCGTCAATCCGAACTAAAGATGTGCGTGTCCTATACCCAATGGCTGTTCAAACAATTACACGAGGTATGCTGATATCGAATGCAAACAACCCACGTGCGGTCTCCTCAGTGTCTCCACACATGTACACGGCCATCAGATTACTGCACGCAAAACCGGGACTCGAATGAAAAGACGACATTGTGTCACACTTGTATCCGGCTTTGTCGTTCGGCGCGCCAGAGTCGCCATCTCTCTCTGCATTGTCAAGGAAAGCCGAATTAATGGTCTCCATACTGATATTCCACGCTGCTGCCAACGTCGACGCACCGTACGAGCTGATACTGGGCGTGCTGCAGACATGCTCATTTCCTGACTAATGGTCCGTGATGTGGTTGTACGGTTTTTCAGGGCTGACCTCGCAATGTATTTGTCCTCTCGAAAATTAGTCATGGGAGGGCGTTGAGATCCTGCATGTCGTTCCGTATGACCCTGAAAAACCCATTGATTCCATATTCACATAACAGAGGTTAGATGTCAACCAGTGCGACGGGCGATAGCACGGAACGATAATCCACGCTCTCGATACGCAACGATCCTGCTTCTGTCGAATTGAGACATTTGCTAGTAAGCGCTTTTACTTCCTTTTTCGACGCATAATACGATATTCAGAGCAACCTCCGACCTTACAATATGCTTTCTGAATGAGAAATCCACTAGACAGCTTTTCTTTTATGCAGTGCTTTAGATGTCGTTTCTCCTTCCTGCTTTGTCTAAATAAGCTGAAGTATTAATTGCATATCACAACCTTTTCTTCCTTTTATGTGGTTTTGACGTTCGCCAGATTATTGCTTTCTTAGTGTTGCAATTTTATTGATCAGCTGTGTAGATTCTTCTTATAGAAAACACTGGTAAACTTCAGTAAAAATATTTGCAGTTCAATGAATTGTTTATAAGATTACCAGATTAGGAATCCAAAGTAATAAAACTTCGTGAGAATCTTAATAACATATTTTTAGACTTTGAAAACTTGTAAACTACTTACGTGAAATTTCTTTCGGCATAACAAATAGAATTTTAAGCGAAATAAATTTTAAGCGAAAAGACTAGTAAATCATAAAACAATAACATTGAATGGTATTTAATGGAACAAAAATCAACCTCAAATTATTCTAATTTATTTATTAACCGATCCTCTCCCAATGCAAATTGAAAAGGACGTCAAAAATCACAAGTATTGAAATGAAATATCCCGATCAACTTTTGGCAGGTGGGAGTCAAGTTTAACAAGTAGTAAGAACTGGAGAAACATATAAAAGATAGATTTCGTAATTTTTATAAAACTGATTTCTTTATATTTAAAAATGCCAGAACATGAATATTTGCGTCAGTTAAAACATTTTTGAACTGAAAAGTATATGTCTACGACCAAGACTGCGAAAATAAAGGGCGGTTCAAAACTTTTTTGAACACGCTATATATACATGCATAATTTATGTCAGTTCTTTTAAGGTTTCCGATATTTCTCATCAAAACAACGGGACATGCTCCGTACGCAAATAGCTTCCACCTTATCTGCAATTTGAAGTAAAATTTACCTTAACATCTGTCACATCAAGTATCATCCATAACAGCAAAAGAAGTAAACAAATAACGTCACAGATTTTCGCTTCATTATTATGCAAATCTGCTAGCAACAGCCCAAACACGCATACATTTTCGATTTTACTTTACAGGCTCAGGCCTGGCAACAAAAGAAAACAAGAGGACAATCACATTTCAGTCACTATTTTCGAAAGTGACTCATCAAATGAAAGAACCATATTTTTAAAGATAACCCCAAACCTGCAATTATAAAAAAAATAAAAAGAGCTTTGTGGAAAAAATGACAGATGTTTCTTTTGCCTCACTACAACTACTTGTATTATGACACATGTGTTAAATACGCTGTTTCTAATGCAGCAGCTTGCTTATCCGAAAAAAAAAAAAATTTCAAGAAAGGAAGGAGGAAGGGAAAAATAATTCCTTAGAAAGAGAATATGATAGAGAAAATCACATTATATTGATAGACCTGTTCTTAAGCATAGGCTGAAGACTCTCTAAAATGTTAAATATTGAAAAAAGGCGTTAGCTTCATTTACATTTATATGGCGCATTTACATTTTATTTTACGTCTTCATCGTCACGCGAATTTACGCCGGCGTCAAAAAAGTTGCGTCAACTACGTCGCGAGCGTACTCGTATGGACGGACCTTAATTTTCCACATATTATAAGGTAAGTACAACTTAAAATGTCTTTCTTTCGTTTTTAAATTTACAATATAATAATAATATATAATAATTTACAATATAATACATTTTACACAGCTTTCTGTCATTTAAAATTAGTAATATAGTAACATTTTTAAATATATGTATCATGCTTAAAGTTTTTAACATAACATTAAAATTTCTCTGGAAATTCGGGCAAACGTTTCACATGCATACTCTCTGATAATATTTAAAATGCTGTCACTAAATTCAGATTGAAATGAAAAAACATATTTTTGAATTTTGTCACCAAAATGTGGAATTTAAAGAAGTTGTGTTTAAAACTTTTTCAAGACTTATTTATTTCAGCACTTTTCTTCTTACATAGAAAAATTATTTCACACATCCTATTTTTCAGCTTTGGTTGTATTATTCCGAGATATTTTATTATGCTTAGATGTTAAATAATGATCTAATTCTTGGTGTTAATACACAAGCAGAACTCGACAGCTATCAGCCTTGAGGTAAAGACATCCCTGATGTTCTAAGCAATTGTTAAACATTATTTAGGCAGAAAAATACAGAATTTCATGCAAAAGAGACTCAGATAACTTCAAGCGCGTTTCTGACGTGAACGTTTCTGTCATTAATCAACATTAGCTTGCTTTATTCATTATGCTTTATTTATATATACACTGGTGTGCAAAAATTAAGGACGAAGTCGAAAACTTAGCATATTAGCTGAACGAAGAGGCAGAGCGGACAGAAAGGCCAATCAGGAGATTAAGTAAGGTGATGTACGGTAGCACATGCGCAGATATGCAGGTAGACGTAATGGGGGAGTGTCTGAGTAGTATAAAGCATGTTGTCGGTGTAAGATCAGTATTTCTGGCAAAGAGATTGCACGCCGTATAGCAGTTAAAATCACACCGAGTTGCTGCCTCAGCGAGAAATGGCGAATAATCAATCTGTTAGACGACATCTGGATGCTTTTACCCGAGGTCGAATCATTGGGAAGTTGGAGGAAGGCCGCAGTGTGACAAGTGTGGCTGCAGAGTTCGGAATTGCTCACAGCATCGTTTCGCGACTTTGGAGACAATTTCAAACTACAGGAACAGCTATCCGGGGGTTTAATAGTGGTCGTCCAGGAGGAACCACACACGCAGATGACCGGTATATTGCCTTACAGGCCAGAAGAAACAGGCGGCAGACAGCGGGAGAAATCGCTAGACACACGACAAAGGCGACTGGACGACCGATATCGCGTACCTTGGCCAGAAGACTGCATGGTGGTGGTCTGTTTGCACGACGCCCTGCACGGTGTGTACCTCTAACGCCTGCCCATCGGAAAAGGGCGTTCTCTGTGGTGCCGGAAACACCAGAATTGGAGAGACAATGAATGGGGACGAGTACTCTTTACAGATGAGAGCAGATTCAGTCTGAGTAGCGATTCTCATCTCATACTCATCTGGAGAGAGCAGGGAAGCCGCAATCATCCCTCGAACATCATTGAAAGGGACAGGTATGGAGGTGGCGGTGTTCTCGTTTGGGGAGGCATCATGCTCGGTAGTCGTACAGACCTTCACATCTTCGATGCAGGTTCAGTCAACGGGACCCGTTATTGTAACGAGATTCTTCTTCCATATGTGCGTCTTTTTAGAGGCGCTATGGGTCCGCAGTTCCTTTTCATGGATGACATGCACCATGTGATCGCACAGTAGCTGCCGAACAGCTCTTAGAGAGTGAGGATATTGAACGTATGGATTGGCCGGCGCGATCTCCGGATCTAAATCCCATCGAGCATGTATGGGATTTTCTAGGCAGACGCTTGGCAGCTCGTCCTTACCACCAGTAACGATTCCGGAGCTTCGATTGTCGCTGCAAGACGAATGGGCAGCAATGCCTCAACAACTCATTCTCAGCATGGGCAGACGCTGTGAAACCTGCCTAGCAGTCAGGGGAGATCATATCCCCTATTAAAGACCGGATGTTTCTTTCTGGACACCCATCACAGGGATATTTCGGCCTTCAGTCGCATTGCGTTCCATGCTACTTTTTCAATAAACTTCTTTTTATCCCTCTGATTTCTCTTTTAGTAAGTGTTGCTTACATTACTCATGTCCTTACGTATTGGGGATCTTACGGTATTAAATGTGTTTATTTGGAAAGCTTTTGTACAAAGTTATACTGAAAAAAACCGTCTCGTCCTTTATTTTTGCACATTAGGGTATACTTATTTTTAAAAACATTTTACTTTCGCAATATACGTTGCTGCAAGGCGTTTAATCAACTAATTAAAATAAATGATTTCAGTATGATTTTAATCATTTAACATTTTATACATTGCAAATTCGTAATATTGCCGATGGAAGGTACTTAAACACCTTCCATCGGCATATATTTAAAATGTTGAGCTTTAAAAAACGCTGATAAAAATTATATATATATTTTTTCATTTTTAAATGATTACATGTGTATTGTTACGAATTTTGCATATATGTAAACAATTCTAGGGAAATTATAGGTAAAACTACATAGCACCTCTTGTGTAATACAATACAAAAAAGACCTCAAGAAGCAAAGTTCGGCCGGAAAAATAAGTTTACAGGGTCAGGCCCATTTTACATCGTTAAGCTGGCGATAGTTTTGGCGACTAATTTTTATAAAAAAAATTTGTGAGACATGGCATTTCGGAAAAAATCGCCAAATTTGGTGACCATTTGGCGACATTTCGGTCCGGTTCCTGTACACCTGTAATTGGCAATGTAATTGAATAAATGTAATTGACTCCTAGATGTAACTGCAACCATATCCGGCCCGTAAACTTTCACTGTATATGCCTTCCAGTCATTTCGAAAAATGGAAGGTACTGGAAGTTTCTCGTCGTCCGGGAGAAATCTAATAAGACCGAAGAAAGCAGTAGTGCTCAGATTTTTGTTCGGTGTTAAATGAATACTGAGAGACCTCCGTGCGAGCTTTGTTTTTTAAATGCGCTTTGCATTGTGTTGTATTTAACGTTTTAGTAGTTTGAAGTGCTATCTTCTGATTGTATTCTGTTATGCTGAAAAGAGCTATTCGAGTACTTTTGTAAGAATTTCCAAAACTGAAAATTTTTCATTTGGAAAAATAAATTTTATCAAGCTATCATCGGTTCTGTCCGCTGTCAGACCATTATGACCCCATACGCACTCAACAATCTTTTGTGTCAGAAGTTGGACTGAATGCTGGTAACAAGGGTTCTGGAGAAACAACTAAGACAATTTTGGACAGCTTTTGCTACGTTGTTGTTGCTGTTGATAATGCTCACTAGTCTGACATAGTCAGCACAAGCCCACGAAATTCCTCGTGGCGAGGAGTGCAAGATACGCCTGTCACTGGCAACAGTCTTGAGCGCCTTACAGGTGACAGTGCGAATGAGCTCATTTCCGCCCGCAATTTTGATGGATAGTACCCCGGGAAAACAGGTTCGAGTGTCTGCCAACCCTCTTCTCCTACCACCAACTTCTCGAGAGGACTTTTGGACATGCCTACTCAGGGATTCAAACCCTGGCCCTTCAGCAGGCAGCCAACGACGCTAACCACTATACCGTTTCGAACGGCTCTTTGCTGCAATTAAAGAGAAGAGGAATGTGACCCAAGAATCTGTTATAGAAGAGATGAAAGCCCTTTAAGAATTGAAAGCGGTCAAAGGAAACGTGGGAGGGGCCGTCAAGTCAGTTTAAGAAAAGATTGAAGCAGGTCAAGAGGAAATGAAAAGAGAAATTACTACCAAAATCTAAAATAAATTCGAAGCAATGGAAGGCGCAATAGACACGGTTGAAAATAAATTTGGAAAAATAGTGGTTTCTGCTGCCAGACAGCGAATAGAAGAAAGAGTTTCGACTGCCGGGAACAACAAATCAGAGATTGAGTTTTAGCTCTCGAACAACACATCAATGACAGAGTTTCTGCTGCTGCCACCAAAGAAGTTGACAGCTTAAAGAAATCTATACTGATAGCAGGAAATAATTCTGATAGCTGTAAATTATTTGTTAGTTCTGGATTCTCTCTAAAGCTGTTCACGTAAAATGGAAATACCTCCTGGAAAATGTTCAGGACTCATATCTCTTGAGTGACTTGTCAGTGACAAATGCAAAGGGATCGGATTCCGTAACTAAGGCCTTTAGCCATTTCTCTGAGAGCACACGCAACGGATATCCTTCAAACTCTGCACGGAAACAGAAATTAGACTTCAGAACTCTGTCTGATTCGTTGGAGCTGAGCTTTGGGGAGAAGTGTTTAAAAGACTATAGCTGACCTCCGTGGAACTCTTGCTAGCGGAAAGCCATGAACAGTCCAGAAGCTCGCCAAAGATGTTGAAAGGCTGTCTCATCTCGTCTTTCCGGTCTTCTCAACAGAAACAAGAACAGTCCTGTCCCTGCAATATTTCATTGATGGCGTCCGGTATACCGAGATACAATAAGAGCTGCGAATGGCGGATGTCAATGATTTAAAGAACACCTTAGTGTATGCCATGAAATTCGAGGCAATCTAGCAAGCAACTCGTACAGACCAGCACACAATCAGAGCTGGCAGAAAATTCCTGCTCTGCAAACATCATGAGTCGTTGAACTGGCTATTAAATTTCAAGAATTCTGAAGGCCAGATAGCAAGATGGACACAGGGACTCCAGGAATATGACATAAATGTGCGTGACACTAAAGGAGCATCATATGGAAACGCCGACGTCCTGTCTAGAAGACCATGCCAGAAAGATAAAGGTATTATTCCAGGATCGAAGCGAAATACGAGCTGGTTTGGTCCCTCCATGGGAATGGGTCACATGGTGTTGAAGTTGTATCTTGGCGTGCGATTGGATTAACTCTGCATCATTTCAAACCGTGCCTGGAGACCTTGAATGCACTCCTCAGACGATGAAGGCGCATCTAGAGGGCGTCCAAGCAACTGATCACAAGGCAGACGAAGAAAATCTGAGATGGGGAATAGCCAAGCAGTCTCGGTAAGCGATAATCCAGCTCGTATTTC